GTAATCCTAGCACTCTGGGAGGCCGAGGCGGGCAGACTGCTCGAGGTCAGGAGTTCAAAACCAGCCTGAGCAAGAGCAAGACTCCATCTCTACTATAAATAGAAAGAAATTAATTGGCCAACTAATATATAGAGAAAAAATCAGCTGGGCACAGGGGTGCATGCCTGTAGTCCCAGCTACTTGGGAAGCTGAGGCAGTAGGATCGCTTGAGCCTAGGAGTTTGAGTTGCTGTGAGCTAGCCTAGGAGTTTGAGTTGCTGTGAGCTAGGCTGATGCCACAGCACTCACTCTAGCCTGGGCAACAAAGTGAGACTCTGTCTCAAAAAAAAAAAAAAAAATTAAAAGCTAGATTTTTAGAGTTTCTCACATTCTGAACTCTAGTTAACTACTGAAAAGATAACACCAATGTATAGGTACAGACATTTCAATTAAAGCTTCCAAATTTAGAAGAAGTTTGTTTCCTGCCAAAAATTGCCATTTGGACATTGCCAGTATAGGCTTTTATGTTATACAATCGAGCAGGGGCACGCAGAAGCAGACTTTATTCATAATTCTTTTAATTTGATAACTTCAACCTGCTTTGTACTATTTATACACATGTACAAAAAACTGATTGCTGTAGTCCAAATTCTCTACTGAAGGTAGAAAAGCATTCTGTTGGCTGGGTGCAGTGGCTCACGCCTGTAATCCTAGCACTCTGGGAGGTCGAGGAGGGAGGATTGCTTGAGGTTAGGAGGTCGAAACCAGCCAGAGCAAGAGTAAGACCCCGTCTCTACTATAAATAGAAAGAAATTAATTGGCCAACTAATATATATATATATAGGAAAAATTAGTCGGGCATGGTGGCACAAGCCTGTAGTACCAGCTACTCGGGAGGCTGAGGCAGAAAGATTGCTTGAGCCCAGGAGTTTGAGGTTGCTGTGAGCTAGGCTGACATCAAAACACTCACTCTAGCCTGGACAACAAAGTGAGCCTCTGTCTCAAAAAAAAAAAAAAAAAAAAGAAAAGCATTCTGTTCACTTAATTTAAAATATTAAAGGCTATGCACCATGCACTGTGCTAGAAAGTAGAATACATAGGTAATCTCTTTGATCTTAATTAAATTACCATCAAACAAAATTATAAAAGCACATACAAGATACTAAGTAGATTGAGTTGTTAAATGGGAAAAAATAGCACCAGAAAATGCTTCTCCCTCTAAAGACTAAAACAAAAATATCTCAAAACATTATTTGTTGAAAGTCTACTAGGATCTCCACTACTAGTTCAGAAAGATTCTTCCTTTTAATTCCTCTTGTGATGTGAAAAAAAGATAAAATATTAAAAAATAAAGAAAAATTTTAAAAAAAGAAAGATTTTTCTTCATATTTCTCTTTGTGCAATTTAAAAGGTTGCTAAACTAACAAATGCTTACACCAAATAAAATTTTAAGCTATGAACAATGGTAGTAAATAAGCAAACAGACTGTTCTTCAATTTCTATCTATGACTAATTTAGTATAGGCATACTGAAATTGTTTGAACTCAGGAACCAATAGTAATAGTACGATTGGGCCTAGGAATGTTTCTGGATTACAAGTCTCTACATTCAGCCCAATCTGCTATAATCTTGGATTGTTTTAAGTCTAAGATTAAAGTCAATTAACAATGTGTCACGTGAGTTGTATTTAACTCATGCTAGTTTTGAGACTGGGGCCTCATGAAGCATACGTAACTCACATGTCTATCTTGAGCAGAGTGAACTATTTTTAAAGTTGCATATAACTCACATATACAAAACAATAAAAAAATAATCAATTTTTCATTAAATTACAAAGTATTGGGTTTTTTTGAAGTTTTTATTTTATTTTCGTAATAAAACACTGTGGCCCCAGAGGAAATTTTTTTCTTCTAGTATGGCAGTCAATGTTAAACACCTCGCAGTCTAAAAAATGTAAATTTGAATTTAGATTAAAATAAAGATATAACAAAACCTTCTAAGTTACCTATCTCAATCTAAGTTGAGAATAAGACCCCTATATGTGCCAAGATGCCTTAACCCAAAAATTTAGGATGCCAAAAGAATATAACTGGAATCAGAAAGAAAAAGTGGAATTACCTATGAGAAACCTTACAATAAGACACATGGCTATTTTTTTGGAAAAAGTAGTGCCTGACAAATAACATTTTGCAAATCTTAAATTGGAATTCTGTACATAGCCATAATCACTGCAGGCACAAGTTACTTAGGTTCTTGGGTTTTTTGTTTTCTTATCTTTTTTTTCCTCAGTGTCCTCTCTAGTAGGAATGGAACAAAAATATTGTCTCCACTCACAACTTTCAACCTTGGAGCTAGCTATTTCTTCCTGTGGTATGTGTCTGCCCTATCTAAAATTTTAGGAACAATTTATTAATTGCAGGATCTTTCCTATAACAAGTAGATATAAGAGGATAAAAGCATACAAACATCTTTTCTTTGCTTTTTAAAAAAATCTTTCTTTCCAAACTCTTCTCTAAAGTAAAAAATAAATTAATAAATAATAAAAATAAATAAATAAATAAAAATTTATTTTATTCCTTTTTTTAGAGATAGGGTCTCCCTATGTTGCCCAGGCTGGATTCCAACTCCGGAACTCAAGTGATCCTCCCGCCTCAGTGTCTAGAGTAATTGGGACTACAGGCCTGCGACACCACGCCTGCCCTGATACAAATACCTGATACAAATTGAATATCATGTTATTCAATACAGAAAATCACTAAAATCTAGCCCTCAATTCCTAGTCTTGACATTTACCTAACACCAATCTGTAGGTTTTTCTGTTGAGAAGCAAGGAGTTTGCAAAATAGGATTTTTTTTTCTTTTGACACAGAGTCTGGCTGTGTCTCCATGATCATAGTTCACTGAAACTTCAAATTCCTGAGCTCAAGCGATCCTCTTGCCTCAGCCTCCCAAGCGGCTGAGACTACTGGCACATGCCACCACACCCAGCTAATTTTTCTATTTTTAGTAGAGACTGGGTCTCGCTCTTGCTCAGGCTGGTTTTGAACTCTTGAGCTCAAGCGATCCTCCAGAGTACTAGGATTACAAGCCTCGTGAGCCTCCTCTCTGGTCCAAAATAGGATTTTTGTTGACTCTCAAGAATAGTTATAAAGTTACTATAATAATTTTACATAGTTTCAGAATCTCATATATAAAACATTGAGTAAAAAATCTTACGATAGCTAGAAAATCAAAGGGGAGAAAAAGACTGAAAAACCTGTTAAGAGGAAAAAAATTATACTACCAATATACAACGTTGACAAATTTTAACAAGCTTTTCCTTAGAATAAGCTTGTTGTAAGAAATACTCTATCAAATATTTGGCAATCATGAATTCATCTACCCCTATAAAAATATTACTAAAATAAACTGATTAATGTTCTCCATAGTTTTCTCTTAGGAGTTGCAATACTTTGGACAATCTCTATTCATCCCCCTGAAATACAATTTGTATGTCATCTCTTTCAAATTCCCCACTAGTACCTTTTTTTTTAAAAAACATCATCTTCACGGAAGATTTCCCTCTCACATTTTCTCTTAGGTGCCCCCAATATGTAGTACGCTAATTTCCATTACATAGTAAATACCAAAACGAATTTTTGTATTTATTCGTCTGTATCCCTAAATAGACAGCACTTATATTGTTTCCCAGTACCTGGCACAACGCCTGTTCAATTAATTCCTTGCACGTAGCGAAGTGCTCTAGAGTTAAAGCTAACTAGAATACACCCTGGAGACATGCCAGGCCTTGAAAAAGCATTTATTTTTCTTAAACTGTTCAGAGTGACAGCACTGCCACTAACGGAGGTACACAGTAAGTGACTCCCAAGATAATTAATTCGACGCAATTAGAATCGCTGTAAGGTAAAAATAATAAAACACAGTTATTTTTGTTTTAACTCACTAAATAACCATTATTAAAACATTAATGGGATAGTGCGTCAGGGAGCCGCTATGTGTTACTGCGACGTGAGCAAGACACCAGAGATTTAAAAAAAAAAAAAACCCACACAACAGAGGAGTCTTGCAGTAGTAACTCTTCTCACGTTGTCAGTTCCCAAGTATTCGCAATCGTCTGTATTTATGTTTCGCCCAAGACACACCCCTGGCGACCTCAGCTCTGTCCCCTGCTTCCCCGCCCCTGTAGTATCTCAAGGCTCCCGATCCTCCATTAGCAGTTCCCTTTCCTATGCAAGGAGGGAGCCACCAAGGGGCAGCGACACTTTCCGGCTCCTCCGCCGCCCCGACCCCGCTCCCAGCCGCCCCGCGCGAGCTCGGGCCCAGCTCCCCGGCCCCCACCCCGGCCGTCCTCCTTCCCGCCCCCAACGGTCCTCAGGCCCAGGTCTCACCTCTCCACCCACTCCCTCAGGAAGCGCATTTCCTCGGTGTGCAGAATGCTCGGATCCTGCTTACACATTTTCACGAAGGCCCGAAGCTCGCTCACTTTGCGGGGGTCCATGGTCACAAGGCGGAGGACGCGGCTGAGGAGGCTGCGGCCCGATTCCAGGCCCGGGCGCTAGCTCAGCGTGATCGCGCAGAAGGGGGCGGCTGCCGCGAGGCAGAACAGACTAGAACCTCCCCGGCCACTGGCTCCTCCCACCCAACGGTCTCGTGACCCCGGGTCCTTCGCTTGCTCATTCCCACTGCCTGTACCTCCACTCCTGCGCACTGCCTAGAACCTTCTAGAAGCCTGGCTGTTCCTTCTGTTGCCTGCCTCTCTACGCACACATTCTTATTTCAATTCTGGACTAGTTCCCAGGATGGGTCAACCACCTACATGGGCACTTTCAAGGAGATAGGAAATATCAGCCTCTCCAGGAAGCCATATACAATCAGATATTCTGTGAATAAGCATTAACCTGGTCACAACACCCAGAAGAAAAAAGGACCAGCTGGCCAGAGAGGCGGTCAAAGCACCCGGCCTGACGTAAGCATTCTGCGCCGCCGCAGAAGAAAAGCCCGCGAGCGGCGCCCGCCGGAAGGGGAGGGGCTATGGCCAGGTTTCCTGGCGACGCGGTCTGCTGGCGGCTGTTTTCTTGGCTTCTGCCTCTTTCCTTTCCTGACGCGTGAGTTAGGTCGATATGCCTTGGCTGCTCTCAGCTCCCAAACTGGTTCCTGCTGTAGCAAACGTCCGCGGCCTCTCAGGTTAGACTCTCCTCCCACGGTGTCACCTCCAGGGCTTGCTCTGTGAGAAGCTTGAGGAGCCCCAGAGGGGTCCAAGTCGGTCTCAGGAGATCCCTGGCTTGGCGGACCCTTCTACTGCTGGGGCCTCCGCTCCCCAACCCTTTGTGCTCTTCGCAGATTTCTTCTTTACCAGCTGCTTCTGGAAAAGGGTGGGCCCTGTGTTCTCTCTACCTTTGAGGTATTCTGGGAAGCTGAAATAACTGCGGAGAGAATTGTGTGCCATCCCGCAGAGGGACTGTCTTCAGTTACTCGGACTCACGTTGTGTCGGTTACCTCACTTGCTTAGGTGACAAAGTGTCTCCGTATCAAGTAGCGCTTGTTTCTGTTAGGTTAACCTAAAATCTTATTTTCGTGTTTTCCAAGACTTGATTTGATAGCTGGCTCCAGAATATATGAGAAATAAGTTTTGTTTTTTTTTTGAGACAGAGTCTCCCTTTGTTGCCCAGGCTAGAGTGAGTGTCGTGGCGTCAGCCTAGCTCACAGCAACCTCAAACTCCTGGGCTCGAGTGATCCTTCTGCCTCAGCCTCCCGGGTAGCTGGGACTACAGGCATGCGCCACCGTGCCCGGCTAATTTTTTTTTATATATATATCAGTTGGCCTATTAATTTCTTTCTATTTATAGTAGAGACGGGGTCTCGCTCTTGCTCAGGCTGGTTTTGAACTCCTGACCTTGAGCAATCCGCCCGCCTCGGCCTCCCAAGAGCTAGGATTACAGGCGTGAGCCACAGCGCCCGGCCGAGAAATAAGTTTTAATGAAAATTTTTTTGACCAGTTCCTCTCAGAAGAGGTAATGTTTGGAAACACTCCTGGTGTCCGAAAGTCCTCTTTGTAAAGACAAGATAAAGTAGCCTAGGAGTAAGGGAAATCATTTTTTTTTGTCGGGTGTCCTCTATCGCAAGCAATTAATCTGATTACCGTATAGCTTTATCAGAGAAATCTATATCATCTGCCTTGCAGGGGGATCTGTCATTCCATATTTCATGTGTGGAAGCCAATATGTAAACAGTGTGAACCAGCGCACATAGTATTTGATATCAAAGCTATGTCTTGGCATACGTTTATGTTGATATCTTGAATTAATTGAAAATGGAATGTTAATCATATCGACTTCTTACTGTAAAAAAAATAAAAAGTCATTGTCCAGTGCATGGAACTTGTTCTTCAATTCTAATTGTAAAGTTGCAGAAAGCCGTCCCTTTGCATGAGATTAGGTGAAAACATAGATGTGGAATTGATCAGTTTTAATCACAGAATCCACAGGACTAGGACTAGATACTGGATTATACGTGCCAAGATCTTTGAAAAATATATTCATTATGCTTTAGTTTGCTTCAATGGAACAAGCAAAACTAACAACCTCTTATATTAACCTGAAATATTGGCGCTTTTTTTTGAGACAGGGTCTCACTCTGTTGCCCTAGCTAGAGTGCAGTGGTGTCATCATAGCTCACTGCAATGTTAAACTTCTCGGCTCAAGTAATCTTCCTGCCTCAGCCTCCCTAGTAGCTGGGACTGCAGGAGAACACCACTACACCTGGCTAATTTTTCTATTTTTTGTATTGATGTGGTCTCTATATTGCCAGGCTGGCCTTGCTTGATCTTCCCTCCTGGGCCTCCCAGAGTGCTAGGATTACAGGCATGGACATCATGCCTGGCCTATATTGGCTTTTTTTAACCAAATGAATAAATGATCTCCTTGAGTCTTTACAGTTCCGATAAGTTAGGGCAGATGGCCTTGTTTTACAAATAAGAAACTAAAACACAGGATCATAACAAATCAGGAATTTTAGTTGTATGATTGTATCTAGTTATTTTTCTGTTATACTACCACTAGGTCTTACTCTGGCTTAGTATGGTCCGTTTGGGACTTTTGTTCATTGAGTGAACCAGAAAGAATGTAGTTTTCAGTAACTTTTGAATTAGTCATATTGGATGGATCTTCACTTCCCGTGAGTTGCTCATAGTCTTGTCGAAGGAGATAGACAAACAACAAATGACAGTATAGAAAAGTGCAATAATAGAGTCTTGACACAAGTGACATGGGAGCTCAGAAAAGGCAATAATGCATTGTAAATACTATGTTGTTCTGGGATTTCATTAAGTTTTAGAATTTACAAACTCCACATTTGAGGTGCTCATAAATAGAACTAGAATATCTGTGATGCTCTTGGTTGCTCTACTTTAGAAAGGCTCTGAGTACAGAGTATTGAATACCATGGGAAACTTTCTCATCTGTGAAAGTCACACATTGCTAAAGTAAAATGTTCTTACTAGCTAAAGGTTAACATAATTATGAGATTTCATTAGTTGAAATATGCTGTTAACACCATATAGTCACTTGAGAACAAGCAAGATAAAGTACTAGTCATGCAAAAGTAAGTTATGTTTTAAAAGAGTATACCATTTAAGGTGTATATAAGTCTAAAATGGGAAAGGGAAGTATTGAAAATATTAAAAATAAGTAGAAAATATTTTTAAAGCCCTGTTTTCAGGTAATGGTTAATTCATTCATTCAACAGCACCAAATGTGAGCACTGAGTGCAAAAAGTTCTGCCCTCATGGGAGACAGATAAAAAACGTAAATAATTATAATACAACATACTAAATATAATAGTAAAGATCCAGTGATGTGGAGAAAGAAGTGATAAATATTTTGGGGGAGCAGAGAGGAAATGTAGGCAGGCCTTTAAAAATTAGGGATTTAGGCTCAGATTTGAAAAGCTTTAACCAAGTAGACTAGAGGAAAGGAGCCATCCTAACAGAAGGAATATGCAAAGGCACAGAACTCTGAAACAGAATGACTGGTACCAAGCATTGCAGTCATATAATATGGCAGAAGAAGCATTTTAAAAATATGTTCTAAGGCGTATTAACAAGTGTTATACCAAAATGATTCTGTGGTCAAATATATATGGGGAATGCTGCATTTCAGATTTCAGAGTGTACATAATAGGCTAATTCTATTAAATAAGTCTCTAAGAATGATATGTATTAAGCTGTAATTTGTAAAATGTATTTGATCATGGAGCCCCTTTTCTGTGGTAAGTCTTGAACTCTTATCCCTGGAACACATTTGGGAAATAGAGCAGTGATCCCTGACATTTTTGGCACCAGGGACTGGTTTCATCATGGAAGACAATTTTTCCATTGGGGGGAGGGAGTCCTCAGCCCAGGGGTGAGGGACCTCAGGGCTAGAGCATGAGTACGAATAGGTAATCGAAAATAAAGCTGAGAAAAAAGCTGGCTTATGGAGGGCCTTGTATATCGTGTTAAGAAACAATGAACTGGCCAGGCACAGTGGCTCACGCCTGTAATCCTAGCACTCGGGGAAGCTGAGGTGGGTGGATTGCTGGAGGTCAGGAGTTAGAAACCAGCCTGAGCAAGAGCAAGACCCTGTCTCTACTATAAATAGAAAGAAATTAATTGACCAACTAACATATATAGAAAAAATTAGCGGGGCATGGTGGCACATGCCTGTAGTCCGACCTGCATTCTTAACTCTTCTGAGAAACTGGTTTTTGCTAATACTGTAGTCACTACCCAGGTTGAGAACATTTTGGTCGTTTCCAGTTTGGGGCTATTAGAAATAAAATCACCACTCATTTCAGGTACAATGAGAAAGGATGGTGGATTGGGAATGAGGGACAAGATATGCAGGTTTAATGATCTGAGTTACAATTTCAGTGGATCAGTGGCTGCTATTTGGAGATTCAGCCAAAATCTGAATTGTAGGAATATATGGGAAGGTAGAATTAGTGAACCCAGTTAGAAGCAAATTAGACCAACGGTGATTTTCTTTAGGGATAATTTAAATTACTAGTAGGCCAGACCTGAATTAAAAAGGTATACTCTATACCCAGTTTGTTTTATTGTCCCAGAAACTTCCCTGTAATGATCTATCTCTGCTCTTCCTCCTTTATGTTGTATTTGTTTTATTTTCCCTCACATTTATAGACCCCTCAGTTAAATGATACTCTAAGAAAATATAAAGATGTAGTGTAGGCTGGGCGCGGTGGCTCACGCCTGTAATCCTAGCACTCTGGGAGGCCGAGGCGGGCGGATTGCTCGAGGTCAGGAGTTCAAACCAGCCTGAAGCAAGAGCGAGACCCCGTCTCTACTATAAATAGAAAGAATTAATTGGCCAACTAATATATATAGAAAATTAGCCGGCGTGGTGGCGCATGCCTGTAGTCCCAGCTACTCGGGAGGCTGAGGCAGGAGGATCGCTTAAGCCAGGAGTTGAGTTGCGTGAGCTGGGCTGATGCTACGGCACTCACTCTAGGCTGGGCAACAAAGCGAGACTCTGTCTCAAAAAAAAAAAAAGATGTAGTGTATGTTTCTAGACAGTCTTTCAAAATCATTAGCCAGGCCTGAATATTTTTTGCTTTGCATTAATTTTGTTTTGATATGCTAGTTGTTGAGGGGTATTGTCAAATGCTTAAAACTCAATTAAAATTCTTTCCAGGCCGGCTGAGGCAGGAGGATTGCTTGAGCCAGGAGTTTGAGGTTGCTGTGAGCTAGGCTGATGCCACAGCACTCACTCTAGCCTGGGCAACAAAGCGAGACTCTGTCTCAAAAAAAAAAAAATTCTTTCCAGTATGTGTCCTTACATGTATTTATGTGTAGTATACCCATGAATTGTAATTTGCCGCCATTGGAAATAAGTAATAACATTGTTTTTCGAGCACCCTGGTCACATTGTACCAAGTGACTTACATGCAGTTTACCTTTAATTGACGTGGCATTCCAGTAAAGTAAATATTTTGTGCCCATAAGAAAACTGAGGTTCTGAGAGCTAATTTGTATAAGGCTACGTAGCTTGTTAGTGAAAAATTTGATACTTAAATTTGAGTCTGATTCCAAATTCTGTTCTTTCCCCTCTACTGCATCTCTTGGACCAGGACTTAAGAGTTTAGGTTGTAGACATTCTGCAAACATATATAGAAAATCCATGATCCTA